TGTATGTATGTATGTGTGCATGCATGGATGTATGGATGTATTCGCGTATGTATGCACATGCATATGCACACATGCATACATACATACATCCATACATCCATACATCCATACATTCATACATGCATATATGCACACACACACACACATATGCATACACGCATACGTATACATGTACATATACAGATATAGGTACAGGCATAGATACAAATATAGATCGTATGCTGAGCCGGGCATTGTCTGACTCGGATCTCTTCGCCAGTCCGTCGAGAGGGAGGAGGTCAGCCCGGCGACGATCTGGTCGACTTCCCAGCCTCTTTAGGGTTTATAGGATTTAGAGTTTAGGCTTAGAGTTTAGGGTTTAGAGTTGAAGGTTTTGTTGGGTGTTGTGAAGTGTCGTAGGGTTTGAAAGGGTTTTGCGATACGCCTTTGAATCCTTCCCTCAAGTAAAGTCGAGACTACACTCGCCCGCGACAGGATTAAACTTACATAGCATATGGGTAGAGTATCGTACAGTGTGTTTTTGCCGATGGTTTTCCTGTCCTGTAGATAGGGCTTTCTATTAGACGATGGTTTTCCTGTTAGATAGCAGATTGAGTTTTAGACAGTGATATTCCTATTGGCAATGGTTTACGGAGTGCTTGGCTTGGCTTGGCTCGGCTTAACTGTGAGTTCATGTTGCAAAGCCCAGAAATCCTTTCTTCTGCTTCCTCTTGTTGCCAGTTGCTGTTTTCCGTGGGTGTTGTTGTTGCTGGAGGTGACAGGCGGTGGTTTGTTGTCGTGATGCGGTTGTCGAAGTCGCTCTCCCTCCGTTGGGCTTCCGCTCGAGTTCCACGCAAGGTGATCGCCGCCGCCGGAGAAGCACAGCCGGGCATGCTTAGAGTGTTGGCCTGATTAAACATAGGTCTAGGAAGCTCCACGCAGCCATACCAGTCTGGCGCGATTGAGCAATCAGCGCTAATCGAATCGAGCACTGCCTGACGATGCTGCAGCGGGGAGTCGTCAAGGAAGCAGCAAAGTCGCGATCTTGAGTATGAGTTATGCCTCCACCATACCTTTACAGCTGCAACTTTGAGTGACCAGAAGCTCCCAGAAAGCTGTCCGTGACAGGCAGCAGAAGCCGCAGCAGCAGAAGCCGGAGTCGCGGCCCTCAGCACTTGGGTCACGCCTGTGTGCTGTGCGCCACCCATGACATAGAATGCCTGAGTGGCTGTCAGACCGGGTCAATGCCAGAGTTTCTCCCTCCTGCAACATCCTACACTTGCAGAGACTGCGCACGATACCCCATCGCTACATTGCTTGATCCCGGCCGTGTGCTTGTGATCCAAGCGGGCTGGGCCTAGGCCCCACCAAGATAGCCTAGAATGTGTGCTCTTCAAGTTGCCACTGTTGCTGCCACAACTACTGTTACTGCTACCAATACTCCTCCTACTCCTACTGTTTCTCGTGCTGTCTTAGTGTCCTACTGTCCTGCTCCTACTCCTCCTACTGCGACAACAACAACAACTACCACTACTACTACTACTACTACTACTACTACTACTAATTACTACTAACTACCTACTACCTACTACCTACTACCTACTACCTACTACCTACCTACTACCTACTACCGACTACCGACTACCGACTACCGACTGCCGACTGGTGACTGCCGACTACCGACTACCGACTACCGACTACCGACTACCGACTACCGACTACGGACTACCTACTACTACTGTTACTACTACTACCACTACCACTACTACTACCACTACTACTACCTACTACTACTACTACTACTACTACTACTACTACTACTACTGCTACTGCTACTGCTACTGCTACTGCTACCACTACCACCTCTACTTCTATCACTTCGACTACGACTACCAG